ATCTACCGGAACGTACACAGCTGCCCAGGTAAAAAATTCTACCAGGTAAAAATCTACCGCGTCGATTGGCTCGCCTTCAGCATGAGATGTGGGTTTGACTCCACCCAGTCACGTATCAGCACTTTACACTTTGCAGGTGTGAAGCTCATGCCGAACCGTGCTTCAGAGTTATTCAGGCTATTTAAAATCGTCTATATTTGGGAAGGATCTGAATCAAGGTAGCAATATCGTCTGCATACTCAATGTCTGTGAGGGAACATCCTGGGAGTGTTTTGACTCCCGAGGTTTCGAAGACAACCAGAGGAATTTCTAGCACGATTTCAAAAACAATATTGAGGAAAGGTGAAAGAGGACAGCCTTTTCTTACACCGCTGGTGGGAGCTTCCCGTATACTCATACCCAACCCACCCACAGGAGTTCGGATACATTGCCCTAACTATAGATAGATATTTGGAAGGGACACCAGGCACTCAATGTTGCTGACTGTCGACCGAATCAGAAGCAGCTTTCAAATACAAAAAACTATCAACGTGGGACCTCTGAAAGAGTGGTGCTCGTCAAGGATTTGTCTTAAGGTAAAGATATCGTAGATGCGTCGTCGACCAGGATGAAGCCTAGCTTGACTCTCACGAATCTCTCTCCTCCGATAATTGATCGACCTGTGCAAAATAATGTCAGAGAGCACCTTAGATGCGCGGATGCTAGGCTGATATTACGACGGTTTCCACACGACTTTCTTGCTTCCTTTTTGAAAACTGGGATGACGGTTGAGGAGCTCCATTTTCTGGTATTTCGCTTTCGTTCCGAATTCTCTGCAACGTGGTTGCCATACTGTCCGCCATCTTTGAAGAGCGCAGGGTGCGGACCACCCGGGCTAGGTGTCTTGTTGTGCTTCAGGGTCGAAATCTCACGGTGGATTTCGATTGCTGATGGTGGGTTAGTTTCAATGTTCCATTCGGACCCGCTTAGTTCTCCCAGCGTTTTGTTGAAGGAGACCAGTTGAATTGTTCCTTGAAGTGCTCAGCCCGCCGCTCAAGATGGAGATTGAGAGAGTGAATTGCCGTTCCGTCCTTTTCTCATATTGTCTCACTGACACCTGCTTTTTTACCGGTCGGTCGAATCATCTGGAACAGGGCGCGGTTGTTGTGCGCCAAGCCAAGCCTTCTCCATCTCCTGGGCCATCGAACTCCGTCAGCACTCTCTGTCATTCTGCAAGCTCCTGATTATCCGGTGTTTGAGGGATCTGCGTGCGCCATCATACTCGGTAGTTGCTGATATGGCCTTTCTGGTAGCAGCCAGATCTGCTGATCTTGACGATATTTGTCGTTCATTTAGTCAAGTCAGATGGGCTTCGATGTGAGCGCTTGTTGGAATTTCGTACTGGCCAGGAACAGACGATGATCTGCACACAACTGAAGAAGCTGCTCCTCGTTATCCGTATGCTTAGCATCGACCACCTAATTTGCTCCTTCCCTACTTAGCCGTCCAACTTGAGCATTCAAACCATCGGCGAGGATTACTATGTCCGTCCCTCTTACCGACCAAAACAGTTGTTGCAGGTCTCGATAAACCTCGTCCTTCTCAGTCTCAGAACTGCAGTCTGTTGGGGCGTATGCTGATACGACAAACAAACATTCCTTGCCGCATCGACCTGGGTTAATCTTAAGTCAGTGAGACGACCGCACAGCGCAAAGGCGACTGTTTACTGGGATCCAGCCCAGTAAGGAGCTTTCAGCCTTGGGGTTGTGTGCAACTACCACACCGTAGATGCGACGAGCCATAGCATCAGGATCACTGGATACCCTAAGAGTGAAATGTGGAACATCCGAGCACGTTCGGCGAAATGATACCTCTTGCTTGCCCAGGCCGAGAAAGTGGGTTTAGTTGATGTACGCCACCTCAGACTCAAAAGTCTGACCCGAAAGGTAGTGGGAGGATGTAGAGTTTTGTTCGGAGACCCTTTCCTTAGGTTCTGACTCAAAAGTCTGAAGCGCGAGACAGTGGTTGTTTGAGTTATCTTGAAGGACCGTTCTCCGGAGCAGTGACTCAACAGTGACCTACTTTACTGTAGGGGGCTGGCTCGATGGCGGAGGGAGTAGGGTATTACTCTCTCACTCCTAGTGCAGCTGCGCACAGCAGGTGCTTTTTGAGTAGAGTATTTCGACTGTATGAAATAATGCACCGGCGGTCACGGTTAACCGTTGGGTGATTTGAGTTTGCGGTTTTTGGGGCCCACCTTTTCTAACCCATCCTTCCTCGGAAGAAAGCAGCATCGCTGCCGGTCGCTTGGGGGAAGCTCCTTACTGCCTTCACACTCCTATCACAGAGGACAGTAAGACTTTGCCTCCAGACCGCCTCGTGATACGATTAGTCGCAGTACGGGGACTGTTCGTCGGGCTGCTTCCCATTGGACTTCTTGGCATGGTTGAACCTTTAGGAACTGAGTTCCAGCCACTGTAACCCACAGGATCATTGTAGCATAGAAGTCCGACCACCACGACAGGGTGGCGGCTTTTGGGTCGGGACCCAGTGTACACAGCGTAGTTTGCATAGACTTAGGGTCGAGCATTATAGTTCACCCTAGGTCGTGTTGACTTGACTTGTCGGGACTTTCGGTTGCTCTACTATAAACCCCGTACCGAAGGTCTTTTGGTCCCCGCATCAAGGAAAGAGAATGAGGAAGGGTGTTTCATTGGGTGTGCCATTACCCAGTCGAGTAATTGTTTTGGAGTTTTGGCTGTTTGATGAATTGACGCATTTTAGCGACGACTTTGATTCCGGAACTCACCAACCTCATTCCTATTCGTCAGCGTCGTTAACCGGTTGTTTCTCACTTCATTCCGGAGAACAGCGGCTGTCAACCCTGCTGAGTTTCTCCTTAAGGTCTTCCATACTTCTATACCATATCTGTCCACTCTCGCTTTTTGTTCAACTTCCACGTTGATGAAATAATGAGATGAACGCTGGACGGTCTTCAAAACCCTAGTGTTGGAATTGTTGCTGGTGAGTGTCTTGGTGTCATGCTCATGCTCTTGGGGGTGCAGTCACTGAACGCGCCACTTGCAGTCTAGGGAGAGGCACTGGAAGTTGTGACGCGTTTTACGTATCATGGAAGTTGTATTAGTTCTGGTTGTAGTGTGGTAGATGAGGTCAGTGCACGAATCTGCAAGGCCTTGATCGCGTTTGCTGATGTGAGACACCTATGGCGTCAGAGTGGTGTATCCCTGAATCTTAAGCGACGTGTGTATCAAGCTACAGTACGGGTTGTTTTGTTGTATGGTTGTGAGACTTGGCCTGTTCGAGCAGCGAAACTGAGACGTCTTCAGGTGTTCGACAATCGTTGTCTCAGAACCATAGCTCGTGTGGCGTATCCGTAACGAGGCAACTGGAAAGCGAGTTTTCGGCTGTGCAGCGGGTACTTCCAGTGAAGAATGTATCCAGCACCAGATGCTGTGTTGGTTGGGACATATGTTGCGTATACCGAACCATCGTTTGCCGAAGAGTGCGGTTTTCCA